CCCCTCCCCCGCCGCAAAATCAAATTGACGCTATTCCTTTTACCTCTGATGCTGGGGTGCAGTCCCTGGCCCCAGGCAGGCTAGGCCAGCTCTCAGTTCCTTCCGGGCAGGGCGAAACAGCACTCCTGTGGTCATTGCTTCACCATGTCTCTCCCTTGGCCCCCACCAAATAAACCTGGAGAAATTTAAGATGCCGTTCTCCTTTATCAAGGAAGTTCCTGGCTTGGTAAAGACCCACTGTGTAGCCTGCCCTTTCTGTCAACACTTGAGGCAATTCTTGAAAGTGGCAGCGCTGCCCAATCACGCAAGGGCTGTCCCCTTCCCAGTTGGTGCCACTTCCTTCCTGCCGCTTCTGAAGAATGGACTATCAATCTTTTGCACGAAGCCCCCACGAAGCCCAAACAAACAAGAACATGTAGTTTCCCCCAAAATGCCAGCTTTGCAATCAAAGCTGTACATGGCAGTAGGCTCAGCTCAGCCCCAGGCTCTCAGGACACCCATGCACCATGTAACTGTGGGATAGAACTGGATGAGAAGCCATCAGGATCATAAAACCCGTTGAGTTTTTATGTAGCGTGATTGTGCATGGGTCCAATATGACAGGCTAGGAAGTGCCACTCTGTTTTGTGGATGAGGAAGTGGGAACACTTTTGAGCCCCTTGATTAGCTGCAAGTCTCTGAGAAGTGGGGAGTGTCCCCTCCTTGGGAGGACAGTGGTGGACTGCCATTGAGCCCTTTCCCAGAGACCAGGAGCAAGTGCAGAGGCTCCATGCTGACAGAGACTCAGGTCGTCATTGGACTGGTAAATCACTGGGCAGCAGCCCCTGCAGATGAGGACTCTGAGGCACAGAGAGGATAACGGGCTGATACAGGGCCACATAACAGTCAGGTACCATATGCAGGATGTTATCTTCTGCCCAGGAAATAAACCCTGTGACAAAGTACACCCTTGGCTTCCCAGGGAGAGTCCTTAGCCACTCACCTCTGGTAAGGAGTAAGAAGCCTGAGGGACCTCACGTCTGCACATTGCTGCAGGGGACATGGACTTCTCTGGGTAGAGTCAGGCTGATCTGAGGGCCTCAGGACTATGCCTAGAAACTGGAAGGGAAAAGTGTGGACAGTGGGGAAATGCCAGTCCTGGAGCTCCAGTTGCTGAGATCTGAGACCCTACCCAGCTCATATGGACCAGTGGCAGGCTGGCCATGAGTCAGGCTATGGCTGGGCTGGGAGAGGCAGAATGCCAGTAGAGAGTGTCTAATGCTAAGTGGGTGCAGGCCTGAGGCTTTGCCTAAGAAACCCCTGGGCAGTTCCTGCTGCAGGTAGGAAGGGAGCTGGAATGAGCATACTGTCCCATGGAGAACTCAGGCATCCTCCAAGGCAGGCTAGACTTGCAGATGAGGGGTTTTTGTGTGAGGGTCATGGAGTCTTGACATTTTCAGCCACCACTTCAATTCTCCAGGTTGTTCAAACTGGCTATTTCTTGCCTTACTGTGGACTGATCCCAAAGCCATCCAGCTGGATGGGGCTTAATCTCCACTGAGTCACTAAGCTAGCTTGCCAGGATCAAGGGGATATCAGATTCTGGCTTCCTGTCCCACACTGGGGGACCAGAGGTGGGGCTGGTTGTCAGACAACAGTGTGACAGTGATGCCCTGTTCTGGTCCCTAACATTTCCCTAACTCCATGGCAACAGCCAGTGAATCGTCCCAGCCCTTCCTTGCTGGACTGCAGTGAGCCATTCACTTATCAGCTCCTGAAGGCAGGGCTCCAGCACAGCCCATGCTCAACCCTAGAGCTGAGTGGCCTCAGGGGCCAAGCAAGGGAAGGCTTCTGGACCACCGCCCTGGTCCCATGCCCCCTTTGCCTCTCTGTGCACAGTGTCCTTACTGCATGTCCTTTAGGACAGTGAGGCTCCAGCAGCTGAGAACAGTCTCCCCACCTGTGATCTATCCTTCAAGTCAGGCCTTGTCACCCCTGCTTCTAGGTTGAGCCATTGCTCACATATCCATCCTGGCTCAGAAGCTGAGCAGGCTCTATCTTAGGGTGGAAGAAGGGACAAGAAGTCAGCCAGACTGACTGAGGCCCATAGGTGTCAGAGTGAGGCTGAAGGTGGGAGTGGGGGGTCAGAAGTCCCTGGAGTCCTACAGGGTGGATTTGTGAATTGTTGGTGTTGAGACAATAAAGCCTCAAGGAGAGTACTGGGCCCTGACAAGGGTCCAGGTATGCTGGATTTACATGGGAACAACCAACAAGCCCATTAGCTGTTGTCCTGTGGTTGAAGTGCCCAGAGCGGGGTACTAAAGGAAGTTCAGCATCCACACGGTCATGACAGGACTAGGTAGTCACATGGGCCTGGTCCCCAGAGCAGCACTTGGAATCCTGTGTGCCATGGCCTGGAGATGGTCTTGTCTGTGAGCCAGTTAAGTGACCAACCCAGCCTCAGACACAGGGTGTGATATCCACCAGGTTGGTAACTCAGATGGCTGAGGGGTCAAGTAGTGATTCGGGCACATTTCTTTGTACTAGGGCCATGGACCCTGTTAGCCAGGGAGCCTCCTGCCTTGCTAAGGATGTGAGGAAGGCATGGCCATGGTCATGCACTCCTCCCTGCCTGGGACTGGTCACCTTATGGCCTCCTCAGTGGAACTGGTTCCAAATCTCAAAGTCTACACATCCAGCCATGGCTAGCTTTGTCCACTTAGCCCACGCCACAGCAAGGCTACACTCCTCACCACTGATCCTTCTCCAGGCTCAGTGTTCAGTGCTAAGGCCAGTCCCATCTCTGTAACAGCTGGCAGTTGTGGCAGGGGGGTTGTCGTGTATCTAAGCCCCAGCCTGCTTAACTCATATACCCCATTACCACCACCTTTTCCTGTGTGTCCACTCATTAATTCATCCTTCAACTCACTCATTCACTCACCTAGCCATTCATTCTACACTCACTCATTTACTCAATTGCCTACTCACTTTTGTATGCATTCATTCATTCATTCATTCATTCATCTACTTTTGCCCTGGTTGATTCACTCATTCACTTATTCACTTTTTCACATGAATCCATTCATTCATTCATTCATTCATTCACTCACTCACACATTTACTCATTCACTGACTTATTTGCTCATTGATTCACTTACTCATCCATAATTCCTCTGGATTATGGATGTGTGACATGTGAAGTGTTCTCCCCCCTCCCCCCAACAGACACACACACACACACACACATACACACACACACACACCATGACCAAGGAATGGCCTGCAGAAAGGGCAGCACAGAGAACAGGCCTCAAGGGAAGCCAGAGCAACCAGAAAGTTCAAAGGTATGTCTTTCTTTGACCTTTGACCTCTCTCTAGCAGGGAGAGAGGCAGCCTTTCTCCTTCTACTGTCATTCCTCCCCTGGTAGTGTCTTTCACTCTGTCTACTTTGTGGGCAACAGAGCTGCTGACATTGGCTGAGGGAGTATGGCCACAGGGGCGGGGGGTGTCCAGTTCAATTCCTGGTGGCCCAAAGTCATACACCCTTGGTGTGGGCAAGGACCCATGTATGATGTTTTCTCATCTGGACATCAGGACAGTGAGTACAGGCTCCTCTAGGCAGGTCAGTAGCATCTCTCCATCCCAGTGAGCACTAAATACCTTGGCTTCTGGCATCCAGAGGCATCCAGTGGGTGGAACTGGGCCTCTGCTGCAACTGTCTACTTGGGCCTGGGAGCCTGAAGTATAACCCAAGTTTTGGGGAGTATGAAGCTGGGGGTTGTCCTGGTATTTCTGTTGCTTGCTTGGTAGTTGCTGTCCACAGAGCTCTTCTCCAAGGAAAGAGAGGATGACTCTCCAGGACAAGTAGTCTCAAAGGCAGCATTTGGTCAGTCTGGAAGATGGGTCTATTGAGGTACCAGGAACTCATGGATTAGAAGGTGTCCTGGGAAAGTCTGGGTGGGGGCTGCTAGTGGAGAGCTACACAGGTAATACCTGGGGGAGCCTCAGGGAAACCAGGCTCCACCTGCAGACACACCCACCTCTGACTGCTGCCATTGACTGGCCTAAAGTGACTGAGTACCCACTGTTTACCTGGGTGAGGGGAATGATAGGCCTGCCCCGCCCACCCAAGGAAAGCCACTGGGGCTGGAGCCAGTTCTCAGACTACAAAAGGCAGCTGGCCACTTGAGTCCCTCCTCAGAGCCTGCCGGTGGGGACGTTTCCCCATGCTGCATAGCATGGGTGTCGGCCGGAGGAAGCTGGTCCCGTTCTGGGTTCTAGCCCTGGCCCTGACTTTCTGTCAACACACAGGTAAGATTCAAGTGTCCAGCTTGCCCAGGCCATTTGGAGAGACGTTTTCATTCCCTCATGCCTTGGACTCAGGTGGGCAGTGAAGTCCAGAGCCTTATCTGGGTCCTGGCAAGCTGAAGATGTCTGTGAGAGGGTCCTGCCATGCAGCCCTTGCCTGCATCCTGACAACTTCAAATGGCTTTTGACTTCAGAGGCTGAGAAATAACTCCATGTGCAGGGCATTGAGGTTGGGCATCCAATGTGGGGGAGCAGAAGGCTGTGTCTCAGAGCCCCCCAAACTGGTCATGGCAGGCTCTCAGCTCTCTAAGGTGCCCCATTTGTGCCAGTTATATCAGCTCACAACCCTCTCTGACTGTCATAACCTCACAAGAAATCAGGGGCTGCCAGTGTTGTAGGCATAGCAGGGTGTTCTGGGCATGTGACTTCTCCCAGCATGGCCTAGTAACAGATGCAGGCACCAGGAAACTAGACTTTGGGTGAAGGCCAGTCACAGCTTTGCTCGAACCCTCTTGTGTAGGTATGGGGGTGGGCCATTCACCTGCCATCATGGGGACTCTGTGCTTCAGGCTGTTAATGAATGATAAATTATGTCCCTCCCTCCATCTGCACACTGGTGGCCAGCAGCCTGGGCTGCTTGAGGCACCTGTCCAGTCCTCAGCTCAGGCCCATCTCCTCTTCTGCAGGCCAGGCCCACCAGGACACTCTGAAATCTGACCATGTGCGTCACTCTGACTTCTCTTTCCTCCAAGGGCATGATGGTGAGTCCTAGCCTTTTGTCCCCACTGTGCTTGCCATATCTCCCCCACTCTACTTTAATGTGGCCTTGGGTCTCCAAGGACTTCTTACCTTGATGGCTCCTCAGCTGGCATATTGAGGAGTGCGAACTTGGAGTTGGAGTATACTGTGTTATACACGACTGTGGTCAGCTACCTCCTGTCCCTAACTGATCCAGCTCATAGGGGCATCACAGGCATCCATTCTCAGGCTCTGAGGGAGATAGAGAAAGTCTGTCAGACTGAGTGGGCTATGTCCTCTGCAGCATGGGCTCATTATTCCACCCATGTAGAGCCTACCTCCATCTCTCTTGGTTTAATATATCTGTCTCAACATCATATTCACTTTCTGGGTCTTGACCTAGGAGCTGGGGGATTGGCCACACATGTCAAAGCAAGGGGTCTTGTGGGGAGTTTGGGGCCAGCCAGAACCTTGCAGTTTACATTTCCCCAAACTGGTTAAAAAGGGAGGGGGGCTTGAGAGGTTGAGTTGCTGTCCTAGATTTAGGCATTTGTGAGGATCAGGACACAAGCGCCCTTGTGCAAACAGAAGTTTCTGGTCTCTGTGGTCACTAAGGACTGATGGCCCTAGGGGTCTCCACGGGACAGTGAGAGAAGAGAATGCCGTATGTAGACATCAGGCTGGGCCATGCCCTACCTGGGCCTCGATAGTCAGTAGAACCCAAACTGAACTGGAGACCTTGGAGTCTGTTTCTTCTGGCTCTGGGCCCTCTCCTCTGGGCCACAGTGACCCTACTACCTCACTCAAGGCTGTGCATCCCATGACCCAAGCCCTTGTCTCCACAGCTGCCCCACTCCATGGGGTGACCATCATCCCACCTCTGAAGACTATCCCTGTGGTACGAGGTGAGTGAACCCCAAAGCCTATCTGGAAAGTTGTCTCCACCTAGCTGGGGTACTCGCCCTTAGACCTGAAGTGCTAGTTTAGGAAGGGCTCCCTGATTCCTGGGTGACAGTAAGCAGGGGAAGGGGAACATTCAAAGCTGCTGTGAGCTGGTCCCAGGACTTCCTACATCAGATGGGATCTTAGATCCCACTGGCACATGGAAAACAGATACCCAGTGTGAAAGGCAGAGATGGAGGGCACGTCAGGAACCAGAACAGTGCCTCCAAAGCCCGCCATTGCTTTGGTCCACAGCTCTCGGCCCAGCACACACCGGGCGAGTGTGCAGCACATGGGGAGACTTCCATTACAAGACCTTTGATGGCCAAGTCTTCCGCTTCCCTGGCCTCTGCAACTATGTGTTCTCCGCACACTGTGGAGCTGCCTATGAGGACTTCAATATCCAGCTACGTCGTAGCCGGGAGTCTAATTCCACCACTCTGAGCAGGGTCACCATGAAGCTTGATGGCCTGGTTGTTGAGTTGACCAAGAGCTCCGTATTAGTCAATAACCACCCGTGAGTCTGGGACAGTATTGGGTGGGTGACTCCCAACCCCATGCTCTAGCTGCCCCTACAGCTCGTCCTTAATACTAGCTTTCCAGGTCCCATGTCTCTGTCACACACGTGGCTGCAGGGATCTTTTCTCCTGGGATTTCTTTTGTCTTCTTGTCCCCCAGTACCATATCCGTGCTCTCTCTTACAGGGTTCAGCTGCCCTTCAGCCAGTCTGGGGTCCTCATTGAGCTCAGCAGTAGCTACCTGAAGGTGGTGGCCAGGCTGGGCCTGGTCTTCATGTGGAATGACGATGACAGTCTCCTGGTGAGAGGGAGTAGAGTCTCTTGGTGGTGGGGAATGGGCATGGCTGGGCAGAGCCTTCTGGTGAAATGGGGACAATGGGTGGAGTCTCCTAGTGAGATCCAGCAGTGGGTTAGGAGAGGGGCATAGGCTATACAGTTGGGGAAGGTGGGCACCCAGGGATACACAGGTCCTGTGTATGTGGGATGCTTGCTTCAGCCCTGCTGAGACATGGTTTCCTTTGACTTATGGGGAGGGTCTTTTGGCTTGTGTCTCCTTGGGAGCCCTCACCCCTTTTTCTGGGAGTTTATACTTCACATCCTGGGTTGTCTATAGTAGGGTCAGGTGTCTGATGTCTCCTCCAATTTCAGCTGGAGTTGGACACCAAATACACCAACAAGACTTGTGGTCTCTGTGGAGACTTCAATGGCAGCCCCGAGTCCAGCGAGTTCCTCTCCCACAGTAAGTCCCAGGCAATGCCACAGGGTCCCAGCAGGTTTAGTCTCCCAGTACCTCAAACCATTTATCTCTAGGTGCATACAAACAAATGCTCTCTCTCTCTCTCTCTCTCTCTCTCTCTCTCTCTCTCTCTTCCTACTCCTCTCCCTCTCCCTCTCCCACTCCCTCCCTCCGTACCTACCTTTCCCCTCCCCTCTACACATAAACACAAGATACCTGCAGCTCACACAGGCACACATATACACACAGGCTTCCCTCTCCAAATTACAGCTCATACATAAGTGCACACAGGCACACTTGCACACACCCACACTTATGAGCATGTACACTCTTGACACACTGATACACCCCACAGGTGCAGGTAGGAAACAAGTTACCTGTCAAGCCTCTGGTTCTTGGTACCCGTATTCTGGGGACATAAACTCTCGTGTGGAATCATTCCTTCTTTCTTCACCCTGGGAGGATCATGTTTCTTTACCTCCAACCAGTGGCATCACAAATGTGGTTGCATCAGCCAGATACTCTAGCATCCCTCCTCTGTCAGTCCCCCAAAGTCCCATATAAGCTGTGGGTGACAGAGCCTGCCTATGCTTATGGATGCCCCTGTCAGGCCAGGCTGTGTGTAGGGTCAGCCAGAGTCTGAGGGTTGGTGGAATGTTAGGTTCACTCTATAGTCCTCTGGGCTGCATCACAGCCTGGCCAGGACTGATGGCTCTACCCACTCCTTCTGTTGCCCTAGGAACTCCAAGTTCTTTCTGGGCTCCTCTTGTGGGTTCTAGATATAAGCATCCCACATCCCAGAGTGAGACTGGGGAAGTCAGGATCACAGGACCACATGGGCATTCTCAGTAGGGAGCTCTTTGGACTTGGCTGTTAGGATGATAGGCTGGGGGCCTGGGACCTGTAGACAGAGCTGCTCTGGGCTTCCTGCAGATGTCAGACTGACACCCCTTGAATTTGGGAACCTCCAGAAGTTGGATGGCCCCACAGAGCAGTGCCATGACCCCCTCCCTGTGCCCCAGAAGAACTGCTCCATCAGATATGTGAGTCTTGAGAGGAATGGGCAGGCAGGGTGGGGAGGAGGGCTTTCGGCTCTGGGATAACCCAGGTAGTTCTGGGAAGCCTGGGGTCTGAACTGAGCATGGGCCCCACCCTTGTTCAGGGCATCTGTGAAGAGATCCTGAAAAGCCAGCTGTTCTCAGACTGCTCGGCCCTGGTGGACATCAGCAGCTACCTGGAGGCTTGCCGGCAGGACCTCTGTCTCTGTGAGAGCCCTGACCTGTCCAGCTGCATCTGCCATACCCTGGCTGAGTACTCCCGGCAGTGTGCCCACGCTGGAGGACAGCCCCAGGACTGGCGGGGTCCCAACCTCTGCTGTGAGTGCCCACAGTGCCCTTCCCTACCATCGTAACATCATCTAGCAGGTAAGTGGATCCTGGCTTGATACGACCTTTCCTTCTGGACTCCCTGCAGCTCAGACCTGCCCCCTCAACATGCAACACCAGGAATGCGGCTCACCCTGCGTGGACACCTGCTCCAACCCCCAGCGCTCCCAGGCCTGTGAGGACCACTGTGTTGCTGGCTGCTTCTGTCCTAAAGGTAAGGTAGAGTCTCTACCCCACCAACCCAAACACAAGACGTCCAAAGCACACAGCTGCGTGGGTGGTCATGCCGCCATTGCTCGGCCTTGGTGAAAGTTCCCTGTGACCCTGGCCCAAAGTGTCTCTGTGCTGCCAAGGTTTACTGGGACTACAGGATGACACCTATCACATGGATTTGCTTTCTACAGGGATGGTATTTGATGACATCAGCCAGACTGGCTGTGTCCCTGTGTCCCAGTGTGCCTGTCTATATAATGGGACATCTTATGCACCGGGTACCAACTACTCAACTGACTGCACCAAGTGGTAAGTCTTGGGATCCCCATCTAAGAGCCTGACATATGCCAGGGTCACTTCTCTAGGATGTGTGGACTGATGAGGTCCCAGGCTGTTGTGATCAATGCCCTATGGGCAGGAACCTTTAGTTTAGGTGGCAAAAACATCAGGACTGTTGTTCCTGGGACCAGTACACAATGTGTCCTTCTTGCCACCCACAGCACATGCTCTGGAGGTCGGTGGAGCTGCCAAGAGGTCCCTTGCCCTGGCACCTGCTCAGTGTTGGGAGGTTCCCACTTCTCCACATTTGATGAAAGGCAATACACAGTGCACGGGGACTGCAGCTACGTGCTGAGCAAGGTGAGGCCTATGCTCTCCTGAGGTCTTTGATTGGGGTGGGGCTCCCCAGGTATCACTAGCTTAGGCCTCCTATCAGTACTGCACCAGGGAGACCTCTAGTGATGAATGACCGACCCATGCTCATTACTTTGGCCCTTCTGACCCCGTCTTTCTGTGGAGACCTATTATTGTATTTATATATTTCTGTTTATGTGTATGAATGTGTCTTTCTGTGTGTACATGTGCACTGGACCCATGGAGGCCCAAAGAGGCATCCGATTCCTTGGAGTTGGAGTTACAGGTGGTTGAGAGCAACCTGATGTGGGTGCTGGGCACTGAAGTTGGGGCCCTTCTCAAGAGCAGTGCACACTTAATCATTGGTCCGTCTCTCCAGTCCCTGTCTTATTGTATTTTTAGATCAGTTTTATGCCCACAAATAAATTAAATAGAAAGTCCAGCTGATTTCCAAGTCTTACCATCCCCAGCAGTCCCCCTGTACTAGCATCTTGCTTTAGTGTGATACATTGGTTACAACTGGTAATGAAGACCAGTCAGCCATTACCCTCCACAGCGGCGTCCACCAGGGTCATTCATGAGCGTGTCCCTGGATTTGGCAAATGTGAAATATCCTGTATCTACTACACTGGTGTCAGTCGTTCACCATGCTAGCCACCTAGACTACACCTGAGCATCTCCCTCCCCACATGGAAACCACTAATATTTTTTTTTAAAAAAACAAAACTGTTTTTCTTTTAAAAATACTTTCAGTTTTTGAAAATTTTGTATATGTACACAATGTATTTTGATCATCCACCTCTTCTCCCCCCACCACACACATCTCCCTCACAATTTCACTTTTAGAACTATTGCACACAGTAGGTGCATTAAGCCCCTTTGTTAGGGGATAGGGAGACGCCTGGCATGGGCTCCTGGGAGCCCTTCCTCCTAAAATTAAATGGCTGCTTCTTAGAGTCTATGACAGTGCTGGACCAGGAATTTCCTGCGAGGGGAGGCGGCATGGATTGGAGGAGAGGGAAGAGAAGGTGGGCAGGGGCTTGGGCAATATGCAAGGACCTGTGTCGCCCCCTGCAGCCCTGTGACAGCAATATCTTCACTGTGCTGGCCGAGCTTCGAAAGTGTGGACTGACAGACAGCGAGACTTGTCTGAAGAGTGTGACACTGAGCCTGGGTGGGGGTCAGACGGTGAGTGTCACAGGGAGGGCTGAGGGGAGCTCTGGCAGAGGCAGGTCCTGGGGTGGGGGTGGGGATGGAAAGACTATGTTCATATGGCCAGTCACCCGGATTCACACCCTGGACAGTGAGTGCATCCACTATGTGTGGATCCTTCTGGGGACTACCCTTACGTGGGACATTGCAGGTGTTTGTGCCAGCTGGCCCCAGGAAAGAGGACTCAAACATCTCTATCCAGTACAATCCCATTGCAGCTTTTTTTTTTTTTTATACATTAGCTTCTGTTTTTATATTACTTAAACTGTGGTTCTTTTGAAAGCTCAGAAAATCAAGGTAAGTATGGGGACAGATCTTGGGACATAAGTTTACCACACGGGAACTACAACTTTGTAGCCCAGGGTGTCACAGACCTAGCAAGCACACTTCACAACCTGTGTGGGCTACCAGGAGACAGTTGGAGATACACTGTTTCAGTCCCTTACTGACCCCAGTTGACTCTGGAATTGCTTCTAGGTCGTCACGGTGAAAGCCACTGGAGAGGTCTTTGTGAACCAGATTTATACCCAACTGCCAGTGTCTACAGGTGAGGGCTGCTTGTGAATCTAAATGGTATATCTCCACGCATGGGACACCCCCACCCTGAAACTCTCATCTTCTGCCCACAGCCAATGTTACCCTCTTCCGGCCATCAACCTTCTTCATCATTGCCCAGACCAATCTGGGGCTGCAGCTTGAGATCCAGCTGGTGCCCATCATGCAAGTGTTTGTGCGACTGGCACCTGTGCTCCGGGGTCTGACCTGCGGTAAGAAGCACTGACTCTGGGCCTGAGCCCATTCCATTCTAGAGCCGGCATGGGCCTCAACTTGCTCCCCTGTCCCCAGGGCTCTGTGGGAATTTCAACAGTATCCAGGCCGATGACTTCCAGACCATCAGTGGGGTTGTGGAGGGCACAGCAGCTGCCTTCTTCAACACCTTCAAGACCCAGGCGGCTTGTCCTAATGTCAGGAATATCTTTGAGGACCCCTGCTCGCTCAGCGTGGAGAATGGTGAGTGTAGCTGTTGGTCTTTGTTCTGTTGAATGCTTAGGGGTTGGTTTACTTGCTTCCATTCTGAGCTGGTTACTTTCCCAAGAAGCATTTTCTCAGCATACTCTGACCTGGCCTGGTGTCCAGCTGTCTACCCTGAAGTGGTGAACAGGCAAACTAGTGTGTAGTGTATTGTGTCAGTCACACATTAAAGAAATCCCAGAGAGGGCACCAACATGCGTAGATGTCATATTAAGTCCAAATTTGAACTCTCCATTTCTCTCCTGGTGTTTTCCATCTGTCTATAGTTTGTAGTCAGTGGCCTGTCTATTGTATTCGATGTGTCTTTGTTGCCTGTTTGTAACAAAGGGTCTCCCCCGGCCCCCGCCCCGTGCTTATTGAGCAGCATGGAAAATATGGCATGGGGAAGCAATGAGGGATTCTTTTCCATAGAAATTTTTAGCAGAGTTTTACAAAGGAAAAAGTTGCTTTACTGACTCCAGTTGACCCAGGATAGCACTTGTATGCTACCAACATGTGGCTGCCAACACTTCTGGAGTATTTGTTTTTCGTGATGTTGATTTCAACCAATTGGTTGCTTTCAGCAAATGATAATCATAACACACTTCCATTACTCTGGGTCAGGGGCATGGAGAAGTACACAGTTTAAGATTAAAACTATATATTTAGGTTAGGTTGTAACACTACAGAGGAAATCCAAGGCATATTAAGGTCAGTTATTCTATTCTCTTCCAGTCAGGGTGAGCTCAAACAGGCTGAGCACACAGTAGGACAGCAGGTTGAGTACACTGTCTTAAATGATTGCAAGGCTTATATTAACTTGGCTGTAGCATCTGGCAAAAGCTCAGTCTTCTTGAAGGCAAGCAGAAAATATATTTTTAGATAATATATTGCTGCAGTTTATACCATGTAGCATTACAAGGGAAACAAGTGTGGGTACTCCATGGAAGAGTGGTGACTGACATCCATGGCACCAGCTGGCAGGGAGGGCATGAGGGGTCTCCGGGACAGAGTCACAGATGGTTAGGTTAGGGGCCTCATCTGCTTCATTATGTACACAGGGCATTGGATATTAGGGGCCTTGCTTCAGGGTAAAAGAAAAGACACAAGACTCTAATGTAGTTGTGACATTGTCCAGCCCACTAAGTAGGGTTGAGGAGGTAGGGTTCAGTGTCAGCTGGTACTGCCCCCTTTCCTTCTGTATTTTGGCCCAGAAGTCTTGACTATTGTCTGTGGTGATGGCCATTCATATTCCTAGAAGGTGAGAGCTCTGGGAACATAGGAAAGGAGAGACACAATGACTATAGCTTTTCCATACCTCATGTATCTTGCAATGACACCTGTGGTTAAGTGCCCATGATGCCTGTCTGTACAGAGATGCAAGAAATTACAAACCCCAAGCTGAGGAAACCCAGGACCTTGGGTGAATAAGTAGCTGATGGGTTCTCTTCTATCCACAGAGAAGTATGCCCAGCACTGGTGTTCTCAGCTGACTGATGCCAGTGGCCCATTTTCCCAGTGCCACACCACCGTGAACCCCAGCACCTACTTCTCGGTAATGCCCACTCAGTGCTTCTTTGGTTAGCTAGGACTCCAACACTGCATTGTGTGTTCCCTCTTGGGAGGACCAGAAGACCCTGGAGGGAGGCAATTGACAGGCAGCAGGTGGCAGGGATATTCTCCCAGTATGTCTCTCTGGTTCCGTTCCTGACATCCATATTCCTTCACTTACTCACTCATCACTTGTTCGTTGGGTTTAAATCAAGCCTCTGGTCTACACCAGAAACAGGGATAAGCAGGAAGCTTTTGAGAAATGTGAGTAATAGGACAGTAAAGAAGTTGAAGTGTTCCAGGGCTGGACTGGTGGGCCACAGAGATAAAGGGCCAGGGTCGTCCCAGAATCCACGTCCTAGAGGGAAGGTTGGGTACATGTGTGATATCCACACTAAAATAGAACCACAGAGGAATGGGAATGGGGCAGTCCCGAGGAAGGTAAGGAGGGTGGGAGGGACTATGTTGGGGTGTGTGTGTGTGTAGGGGGGACTCAGTCAGATGCCAGGCTCCTGGATGTGAGGGTGGGTCCCTAATGCTCTGATGCTCCCACCCCCAGAACTGCATGTTTGACACGTGCAACTGTGAGAAGAGTGAGGACTGCATGTGTGCCGCCCTGTCTTCCTATGTGCATGCTTGTGCCGCCAAAGGCGTGCTGCTCAGTGATTGGAGAGATGGCGTCTGCAGTGAGTATTCTGTAGGCCAGCTGGGCTCTCTTTCTCTACAGGCCAGGGTCCCTACCTATTGCCTAACAGCGGATTGGATGCTCCAAGGGTTCTATCACTATGTCTGTCTCTGAAACTAAAGGAGACCCGAGCCATTGTGATCAAGAGCCCTAATCAGGAGATTGTCTGGGGAAGCTAGAAAGGCCTTGAACCGCTAGGCCCTCTGTTATTGATTACTAGGCTGTGTGTCCACCAGTATCCTAAGTGCCCCCTCCCTCTGCTCCCTCACAGCAAAGGCTACAACTACCTGCCCCAAGTCGATGACCTACCAATACCACATCAGCACCTGCCAGCCCACCTGCCGTGCTCTGAATGAGGAAGATGTCACCTGCCATGTCAACTTCGTCCCTGTAGATGGTTGCACCTGCCCTGCAGGCACCTTCTTGGATGATTCGGGCAAATGTGTGCAGGCCACCAGCTGTCCCTGCTACCACAGGGGATCCATAGTCCCCAACGGCGAGTCTGTTCATGACAGTGGGGCCATTTGGTAAGACTCATAGGCCTGGCAGACTGTGTTCCCAGAGGACCCCTAGTCACCCTGCTCCATGCACCTATGGTCATGCAGACAAGGAGGATGTGGCAGGGACTCATGGGGCCCCGAGTAGATGATGTTCTAACATTTCTCTACTCACAGCACCTGCACCCAGGGAACACTGACCTGCATCGGAGGTCCTGCCCCGACTCCAGGTGAGCCTGTGAGGGAGCCCATCAACTCTGGGAGAATACTTCCAAAGACAAGTCAGGGTTGGTGCCCATCCCAAGGGAACAAAGCTGGGGTTACTGATCAGTTTCACTGTGTCTGGTATAGTCTGGGCCTTGGGCTCAGGAACAGGGGAGATGAGGATGTGGACACTGCGCACACATAATCATAAAAGCACTCAGTGCACACATACCACACACCACACACACACACACACACACTCCAGCATGCATAACACAGTATGTATCCAGCCCTCCCACTATAGGGCAGCCACATGTTTGGCTGCCTGGAAACAAAAGGCTGAGGTGTCACAGCACTGGCCTCCCTCAGAGAAAGCTTGGCAGGGGTGGATAGCATCACCTCACTGGTCCCTTTCCTTCTCCAGTGTGTGATGCACCCATGATCTATTTTGACTGTCACAATGCTACACTGGGGGACACTGGAGCTGGATGTCAGAAGAGCTGTCACACCCTGGACATGACCTGTGTAAGTGACCTGGTCACTCCATAATAACTCTCCCTAGGAGCTTCTTGATGGTCCCCTTACTTACTTGACATCTCCTGCTACAGTATCTGTGGAGACCATCAGGCACCCTCATGGAGGCTCTTGGAGCAGAGCAGCAGGGCTCTCCAGTGCTGAAGGCCTTCAGGGCAGCCTAGCTAGACTGTGTTCCCAGAGCACCCCTGGGCACCCTGCTGTTGGTTTTCCTGCTCCCATGGCACCTGCAGTGCTACAGACAAAGAGGACATGTCACCCCTAGACATCTGTCCACATGTAGACCCACTCACCTTGTCCATATGTCCTACAGTACATCTCTGAATGCGTGCCTGGCTGTGTCTGCCCTGATGGGTTGGTGGCAGATGGTAATGGAGGCTGTGTTGTTGCCGAGGACTGTCCCTGTGTGCACAACGAGGCCACTTACAGGCCTGGAGAGACCATCCGAGTGGGCTGCAACAACTGGTATGTGAGGGTCACAGCAGGAGAGGTCGGTATCCAAGCATCACCAGGCACAGAGGTCCTTATCAGGAATGGGCTAAGCCCTGGCATGGCCTCTGATGGACATGCACGGCACAGGCTCTCAAGGCCTCTGGCTCTGTGCTTCGGTTTCCCATGAGGGGTCCCCACAGAGTCTCTGGGAAGGTTCCCATTCCTGCGGGAGCCCTCAGCTGACCTCCACCTTGTATGCAGCACCTGTGAGAACAGGATGTGGAGGTGCACAGACAAGCCCTGTCTGGCCACCTGTGCTGTGTATGGGGATGGCCACTACCTCACTTTCGATGGGCAGCGCTACAGCTTCAGTGGGAACTGCGAATACACGCTGCTGCAGGTATGCCTGGCTGACAGCCTCTGCGGCCACCCACAACCACAGGTACTCACCACCCTTCCCTGTCCCTTAACCGCCTTCTGTTCCTCCAGGACCACTGTGGTGGGAACGGCAGCTCCCAGGATGCCTTTCGTGTTGTTACCGAGAACATCCCCTGTGGTACTACGGGAACCACCTGCTCCAAGGACATCAAGATCTTCCTGAGGGTGAGTGGAATGGAGCTGGCAGAACACCCTGGGGGTTCCACAGTGGTGCAGGGGCACACAGGAGGGAGCATGGTCCTGGATAGGCCCTGAGGACCCCTTGTCATACAGAACTATGAGCTGAAGCTGAGTGACGGGAAGGTGGAGGTGGTCCAGAAGGACGTGGGGCAGGAGCCCCCCTACTATGTCCACCAGATGGGCATCTACCTGGTGGTGGAAACGGACGTTGGACTGGTGCTTCTGTGGGACAGGAAGACCAGCATCTTTCTCAGACTCAGCCCTGAGTTCAAGGTGAGGCTGAGCTAGGGAATCATTGCTGTTACCCCTCTCAGAGGCTGGGGCATACATGGGGCTGGAGGATACATAGGCCTGGGGACATGGACAGAGAGTGACAGAAACACACTCAGAGCTAGAGAGAGGGGGAGAGAGACAGAGATAGTCAGAGATGGACAGAGAGTGAGAGAGGTTGAGACATACAGACAGAGGCAAAGGAAGACAGAGAAAGGCAGTCCCAGGAGATAGATGGCTCAGTGGGGAAGTTGCTTGTTGACAAGTCTGATGACCTCAGGCTCGAGGTCCAATCCCCAGGACCCACATGGTAGAAGAGCTGGCTTCCACGAGCTGTTCTATGACCTCCACAAGAGCTCTGTGGCAATGCAACACACACACACACACACACACACACACACACACACACACAAATGATAAGTTTTTGAGAGAGAGGTGGGTTGGATGGAAAGGACCTTTAGAAGAGCAGTGGGGAGAGCTCTTGCTGTGTGGGTCTTTCTGTTTTTGTAGCATAAACTGGGTGGCCAGTTCTCTTTTGTGTCTGGACTCTAGGAGCCCAAGTGATGTGTCAGTAGGAATGCAGTCCCTCTGGAGGCTCAGGAGGGTCTTTCTTGCCTCTTTAGCCTCTGGGGCTCCAGGTATCCTTGGATTGTGGCTTCATTATCCCAGTCTCCATCTCTGTTGTTGCATGGTTGACTGTGTGTAGCTGCCTATATTTTTCTCTTTAATAAGGACAGTAGACAGGAGACACAGGACTCACCCTGCCTTAGTGAGACCTCATCTCACTTGACCACATGTTCAAAGGGTCTACTTCTAAGAAGGCCCCACTCACAAACCCCAGGGTTAGAAAGGGACAAATATGGGCCACTGTCCAGCTCTCTGCAGTGTTTTGGACTGCGATTCAAGACAGACCCCAAGCTGAGTGACACGGCTCCATGCTCACACTACAAAGTGACTGAGAGCTGACACTAAGTCAGAGTGGAGGGAAGAAGGACAAAGCAGCCTCACAGGAAGAATGGAGAATGAGGTTTCCTGGGCTGCCAAGCTGGGGGACTCATGAGAAGGGGTTATGGCCTGAGGACAGACAAAGATGGGCACAAGTGCCATGCATCACCACTAGACAACCAACAAGCCTTATAAACTCATACTTGCTGCTCTTCCTGGGCTCATCCTTCAGGATGTTGGGTGGTAATAGAGCAAAGTGGATATCAGGGTTCTGAAAGGGGGCTCTTGCCCATATTTCTAATCTCTGTGCTTCTATAGGGCAAGGTCTGTGGCCTGTGTGGGAATTTTGACGACAATGCCATCAATGACTTCACCACGCGCAGCCAGTCTGTGGTGGGTGATGTGCTGGAGTTTGGAAATAGCTGGAAGTTCTCCCCATCCTGCCCGGATGCCCTGGTGCCCAAGGATCCCTGCACTGCCAACCCTTACCGCAAGTCCTGGGCCCAAAAGCAATGCAGCATCATCAACAGTGAAACCTTCACCGCCTGCCATGCCCATGTACGGCAGTGGGGCTGGGTGGTCTCTGGATTTTAGGATGGAGAAACCATCCATCGAGGGTGTGGGGGGGTCTGGGGGTCAGGAACACACGCGCATATACCGGAATGGGTTATGGTTTGGGGCTGTTAACTCTGAACATGGACTGAGGAAGCTTCAGGTTCCTCCATGATCAGAGCCAGACTATGGACACCATGATGTCCTGGCTGGACATTCATGGTCATACATTTGTCACCATGAACATTAGTAGAAAGTGGCCCAAATTATTAGGCCAGCATACATACTAAGAGCTGAGGGAGATGGGAGTCCTCAGAGCCTGAAGCCTTTGTCTCTTTCAGGTGGAGCCTGCCAAGTACTATGAAGCCTGTGTGAGTGACGCATGTGCCTGTGACTCAGGAGGTGACTGCGAGTGTTTCTGCACCGCTGTGGCCGCCTATGCCCAGGCCTGCCATGAAGTGGGAGTGTGTGTGTCCTGGAGAACACCAGACATCTGCCGTGAGTGGGGCTCTGTCTGTGTTGCTGAAGGGTGGAACTGGGGATGAGGTGGGTGATAGCCTCTTCTGCTTCTTCTGGCTTGGTTCTGGCCAGCACACACACACACACACACACACACCTCTAATGTGTGTGTGTGTGTGTGTGTGTGTACATCTATGTGTGTCCTGCACATCCAAGTGCACAAACACTATAGCCACTCAACAGATGACTCTAACATGAGCCGCTCCAAGGGCTGGGAACTGCAGGGGATGAGCTATGAGTGCTCTGGGAGGGACAGTGGTTCCAGGCTGGAGAGGCCAGCTCTGTGTGTCCATCTGGGTACAGCAAAGGGCCAATAGTTTCCTAAGGAAAATGAACTGAGGGTGAGCATCTGTAGGAGGAAGCTTGGCCTCAGAACATGTTCTGCAATGGAGGCATCAGTATACCTTCTTATACACAGTCCATTGAAGCCCTGAGGGAGCAGTGTGGCTGGGGAGCAGCTGCTGTAGCTGGAGAGCACCGTTTGATGTTTGTCTTTCTGGCATCCCTATTAGTCTGAAGCCTGTATCTGAATCACCTTCTCTCAGGGTGGGGTGGGAAATAGTTTAGCAGAACTTAGGTGCAGGTTTACCCCAGTAAATCTCCCTCCTTTTTAGCGCTATTCTGTGACTACTACAACCCAGAGGGTCAGTGTGAGTGGCACTACCAGCCATGTGGGGCCCCCTGCATGCGCACCTGCCAGAACCCTAGTGGACACTGCCTACATGATCTGCATGGCCTTGAAGGTAGGTTGAAGGCTGAGCTTGGAGGGGCAGGATATGTTGGGTTCCTAGGATCTGGACTGGGGTCTAACCTGGGATTCGAGGCCTACGGCCTTCTTATGGGACCCTTGGTTGGGATAATTCTTCCTGACTCCACTAGGAGTCTTAAGAGCTTCAACCTTAAACACTAATGTGGATGAGGCTGCACACTGGAACAGACCTGGGCCCTGGTGTGAGAGGGCTTGGTGGGAGACTGTCTGGCACTCAAGTCTTCTTGGTCCACAGGCTGCTACCCCAAGTGCCCACCAACAGCCCCCATCTTTGATGAGCGTAAGATGCAGTGTGTATCCAATTGTATCCCTTTGCCTCCACCACTGCCTCCCTGCCGTATCAATGGAAAGTTGTACCGACTAGGTGCGAAAGTACCTTCAGACAAGAACTGCCATTCCTGGTAAGACATTCACCCAGAGTGACGTAGAATCTGGAACACCATGAGGAATCTAAGCCAACCTTATCCACAGCCTGGGGTCTAGAAGTACCCTCAACCCAAGGTTGCATGCTCTAAGGGGGAAAAAGTGACATCGCCAGCCCTGTGGGGCCCCTTGCATTCACACCTGCCAGAAACCCTGTGGCCTGAGCTTCAACTAGGAGGGAGAACACTCTTGTCTTAGGCTCAGTTGTGAGGAAGGACAGCCTTGGCTTGTGGCTGAGCTGGGAAGAAGGATGCCTTTGGCTTAAGGCTCATGTGAAAAGGGAGGACACCCTTGACCTAAAATCCAGCTGTGTGTGAATGTGATGGTGTCCTCAGCCAAGATGTCCTCCCAGGGATGAGGGGACAATGCCCATCAAAGTCTACCTTATCCCTATTGGCTATTGACAGGAGTGATGTTTGAGAGAGTGTGACCTTAATGGAGTAGATCCTAGAAGACTGAAGGTTAGGACCTGGGCAGGATCACAGACTCCAGCTCAGGACTGTAACTAGGCTGCCTCATCACCAACACTAAGCACACTGGATGCAGGCGGTTCCAGCCTCATCACCAACTCTAAGCACACTGGATGCAGGCGGTTCCAGCCTCATCACCAACTCTAAGCACACTGGATGCAGGCGGTTCCAGCCTCATCACCAACTCTAAGCACACTGGATGCAGGCGGTTCCAGCCTCATCACCAACTCTAAGCACACTGGATGCAGGCGGTTCCAGCCTCATCACCAACTCTAAGCACACTGGATGCAGGCGGTTCCAGCCTCATCACCAACTCTAAGCACACTGGATGCAGGCGGTTCCAGCCTCATCACCAACTCTAAGCACACTGGATGCAGGCGGTTCCAGCCTCATCACCAACTCTAAGCACACTGGATGCAGGCGGTTCCAGCCTCATCACCAACTCTAAGCACACTGGATGCAGGCGGTTCCAGCCTCATCACCAACTCTAAGCACACTGGATGCAGGCGGTTCCAGCCTCCTCACCAACACTAAACACACTGGATGCAGGCGGGTCCAGCCTCATCACCCACACTAAGCACACTGGATGCAGGCAGGTCCAGCCTCATCACCAACACTAAGCACACTGGATGCAGGCGGTTCCAGTTCCCACGCACTCAGTCCTACTTCTTCCCTCTCTTGACAGCATTTGCACGGAAAATGGTGTGAGCTGTAGCTATGATGCTTCTGGTGAGTACCTGCAGCTGTCTCTGAGCTGGAGACAGGGTGGGAGAGTCACTGCTGATGTCACAGCACCCCCTGACAGGCTAAACATCTATTCCCCACAGCCTGTGTCTGTACCTACAATGGGCAACACTTCCATTCTGGGGAAATCATCTACCACACAACCGACGGCACGGGAGGCTGCATCTCTGCATACTGCAGGGCCAACGGGACCATCGAAAGGAACGTCGACACCTGCAGCCCCACCACTCCCATGCCCCCGACCACTTTCTCCTTCTCCACGCCAGTGGGTAAGGCAGATGTGACTGGTGGCAGAAAATGATAGGCTTAGTGGGGGTGTCTCTTTTCCTGCTGATTGGCACTGCTTCTCTTGCAGAACGTTAGGGAATGGCTAGTTCTGGGTGTTGGTGGCAGGCCCTGAGGCTCGAGAAGGGGCCCAGGAGTTGGGCACTGGGAGCGTGGGTACCCTGCTTTTATCTCACAGCAGGAAGGGACCAATCTTCCTGACCCACTCTGGCAGGCCTGGTGTCCATGGTACCATTTTCTGTAGCTTCTGGACTGGATCTCAGGGAAGTGTGGGCCTTAGCTTGGAGGCTCTAAGCACAAGTGACCCCAGGCCAGTACTTGGATAAACATGAGAATTTTTCCTGGAATTCATAGCTGCCGCCTTGCCTGGCTCTCTACATCCCTAAGGTCTCGCCCTGTTGGGGGTTTGTCAGAGCCCCCCCAGCTAGTTTTGAGGGGTATAAGCATGTAGCTCAGGGGATGGCCAGGAGAGCAGGTTCCCTTTAGAGGAGATTAGTTTGTCTGTTCATGGATGCAATACACTCTTCTTCTGTCCACCAAGAGGTAGGTTCTGAGTGATACGGCTCTGATGTTCAGTTTTCAAAGTGAGTATGACCATGGTGGTGAGACCCAAGGTGATGTACAAGGAGAAAGGTTGTGACCAGGGACCAGGTAGACAGCCCCAAGGCCCTCATGCTCACTCCTGTTACTTTTGTCCACAGTCATGACTTCAATGCCACCCTCCAGCACACAGACCAGCTCTCCGAGTATAGTGTACACAGGGCCCCCAAGCACAGCTACATCGACAACAAGCAGCATGTTGTCTGTGAAGACGCCTGCCACAGCCTCCACTTTGACCACATCTACTATGACCTCCACCTTAACCATGCCAGGGTGCCAGGAGGAGTGCGTCTGGTCTCCCTGGATGGATGTCAGCCGTCCTGGACGTGGTATTGACAGTGGTGACTTTGACACTCTGGAGAACCTCCGTGCCCATGGCTACCAGATCTGCCGAGTACCAAGGGCAGTGGAGTGCCGTGCAGAGGATGCCCCTGAGGTACCACTTCATGCACTAGGGCAGCGTGTGGAGTGCAGTACAACTGTTGGGCTGACATGTCACAACAAGGATCAGGTGTCAGAGCTCTGTGAAAACTACCAGATCAGAATTGAGTGCTGTACCCCCATCAGCTGTCCAACCTCTAGTGGTCCAAGCCAGAGCACACAATTGATAACCTCTAGGACAACTACAAAGGGGCCCACAACCTCCGTAGCCCCTGTCACCTCAACTGACCACACAGACAGCACAGTTATCCCAGGTCCCTCTACCCATGCTCTGAGTCCTTTCCCCTCTCCCTCACATCCTTTCTCATCAGCTCCAAGTCCATCTACGTCTGCCCCCATTGGTTCTACCACAGTGAAAACAACTCTGTCCACTACTAGCCCAATTCCAGAGCCAACTTCAGCCACATGGTCCATCCCAACCTCAGGGTCCACCATAGCCTCTTTTGAGACTACCCATGAATGCAAACGGGAACTTTGCAGTTGGACTGATTGGATAGATGGCAGCTACCCTGGGCCTGACAGAAACAGTGGAGATTTTGACACTTTTGAAAACCTGAGATCCAAAGGATACAAGTTCTGTGAGAAGCCACAAAATGTTCGGTGTAGGGCTCAGTTCTTTCCCAACACACCTCTGGAGGAGCTGGGGCAGAATGTGACCTGCAACCCAGAGGAAGGGTTGCTCTGTTTGAACAAGAACCAGCTCCCACCCATTTGTTATAACTATGAGATCCAGATAGAGTGCTGCACAGTAGTGGACGTGTGCTCCATGACATCGGCTACCACACATTCTACCTCACATGAAGTAAGCACAGAAACAAAGACCCCTTGGACCACAAGCTCGCACTCATCTCCCACCAAAGAAACCAGTACTCTTTCAGCAACCATACACCCAAAGACCTGGGCAACAGGCAGTTCACACACAATCACCACACCAGTGTCTTCCCACTGCCAGCTACAGTGCAACTGGACCAAGTGGTTTGACACTGACTTCCCGGTGCCCGGGCCACATGGAGGAGACCTGGAAACCTACAGCAACATCCTAAGGATGGGAGAGAAGATCTGTCACCGAGATCACACAGCTGGAGTGCAGGGCTGAGAACCACCCTGAGGTGAGGGTGGAGGACCTGGGTCAGGTGGTGCAGTGTGACCCCACTATTGGCCTGGTGTGCAGGAACCGGGACCAGCAGGACATGTCTGGCATGTGCCTCAACTACGAGGTGCGAGTGCTCTGCTGTCGTCTTCCTGAAGACTGCCAAATCACCACACGGGCCTCGCTGTCCAGCACCCCAGGTGACACTGTCACCAGCTCATCTCCTGGCATGACATCTGTGCATACAGCAGTCAGTCCATCCATGTCCCCAACCAGGACAACCATTGTGGAGACTGTCAGCACCACCTCCACACCAAAACCCGAGAACCCAGGACAACCATTGTGGAGACCATCAGCACCACCTCCACTCCAAAAACTGACTCAATCTCTGGGCAGACAGCCAGCACCATGTCCACCAGGACCACATCTGTGCAGACAGCCAGCACCATGTCTACCAGGGACACCAGGGACACCAGGAGCACGTCTGTGCAGACGGCCAGCACCATGTCCACCAGAGACACCAGGACCACCTCTGGGCAGACAGCCAGCACCACCTACAAACCCCAACCCAGCTCTCCATCTATCGAAAAACTGAGCACCACCCTCCAAACCCAGACCAGCTCAGCATCTACAGAAAAATCCAGAACCACATCTGTGCAGACAGCCAGCACGACTTTCATGGGAAAAACCAGTGTCACATCTGTGCCTGGAACCAGAGTCACCTCTGCTCCTCTCAGCACCACAGGCCCAGGGCCTCATTCTGGGACGACTTCCTCCACAGTGGCCACCCACTGCCAGCTACAGTGCAACTGGACCAAGTGGTTTGACACTGACTTCCCGGTGCCCGGGCCACATGGAGGGGACCTGGAAACCTACAGCAACATCCTGAGGACGGGAGAGAAGATCTGTCACCAGCCAGAGGAGATCACACAGCTGGAGTGCAGGGCTGAGAACCACCCTGAGGTGAGGGTGGAGGACCTGGGTCAGGTGGTGCAGTGTGACCCCACTATTGGCCTGGTGTGCAGGAACCGGGACCAGCAGGACATGTCTGGCATGTGCCTCAACTACGAGGTGCGAGTGCTCTGCTGTCGTCTTCCTGAAGACTGCCAAATCACCACACGGGCCTCGCTGTCCAGCACCCCAGGTGACACTGTCACCAGCTCATCTCCTGGCATGACATCTGTGCATACAGCAGTCAGCACATCCATGTCCCCAACAAGGACAACTATTGTGGAGACCGTCAGCACCACCTCCACACCGCAAACCAGCTCAGTCTCTGGGCAGACAGCCAGCACCATGTCCACCAAGGACACCAGGGACACCAGGACCACCTCTGTGCAGACAGCCAGCACCATGTCCACCAAGGACACCAGGGACACCAGGACCACCTCTCTGCAGACAGCCAGCACCATGTCCACCAAGGACACCAGCACCATCACTGAGAAGACAGCCAATACCACCTACATAACCCAAACCAGCTCTCCCTCTACCAGAAAACTGAGCACCACCCTCAAAACCCAGACCATGTCCCCAACCAGGACAACCATTGTGGAGACCATCAGCACCACCTCCACTCCAAAAACTGACTCAATCTCTGGGCAGACAGCCAGCACCATGTCCACCAGGACCACATCTGTGCAGACAGCCAGCACCATGTCCACCAGAGACACCAGGGACACCAGGACCACCTCTGGGCAGACAGCCAGCACCACCTACAAACCCCAACCCAGCTCTCCATCTATCGAATGACTGAGCACCAACCTCCAAACCCAGACCAGCTCAACCTCTACAGAAAAATCCAGAACCACCTCTGGGCAGCCAGCCAGCACCATGTCCACTGGGGACACCAGGGACACCAGGACCACCTCTGAGCAAACAGGCAGCACCACATCCATGCATAATTCCAAACAAACCTCTGGGCAGCCAGCCAGAACCATGTCCACCAGGGGCACCAGCACCATCTCTGAGAAAACAGCCAGTACCACCTACAAACCCCAAACCAGCTCTCCCTCTACCGGAAAACTGAGCACCACCCTCAAAACCCAGACTAGCTCAGCATCTACAGAAAAATCCAGGACCACCTCTGGGCAGACAGCCAGCACCACCTACAAACCCCAACCCAGCTCTCCATCTATCGAAAAACTGAGCACCACCCTCCAAACCCAGACCAGCTCAGCATCTACAGAAAAATCCAGAACCACATCTGTGCAGACAGCCAGCACGACTTTCATGGGAAAAACCAGTGTCACATCTGTGCCTGGAACCAGAGTCACCTCTGCTCCTCTCAGCACCACAGGCCCAGGGCCTCATTCTGGGACGACTTCCTCCACAGTGGCCACCCACTGCCAGCTACAGTGCAACTGGACCAAGTGGTTTGACACTGACTTCCCGGTGCCCGGGCCACATGGAGGGGACCTGGAAACCTACAGCAACATCCTGAGGACGGGAGAGAAGATCTGTCACCAGCCAGAGGAGATCACACAGCTGGAGTGTAGGGCTGAGAACCACCCTGAGGTGAGGGTGGAGGACCTGGGTCAGGTGGTGCAGTGTGACCCCACTATTGGCCTGGTGTGCAGGAACCGGGACCAGCAGGACATGTCTGGCATGTGCCTCAACTACGAGGTGCGAGTGCTCTGCTGTCGTCTTCCTGAAGACTGCCAAATCACCACACGGGCCTCGCTGTCCAGCACCCCAGGTGACACTGTCACCAGCTCATCTCCTGGCATGACATCTGTGCATACAGCAGTCAGTACATCCATGTCCCCAACCAGGACAACCATTGTGGAGACCATCAGCACCACCTCCACACCAAAAACCAGCTCAGTCTCTGGGCAGACAGCCAGCACCATGTCCACCAAGGATACCAGGGACACCAGGACTACCTCTCTGCAGACAGCCAGCACCATGTCCACCAAGGACACCAGGGACACCAGGACCTCCTCTGTGCAGACAGCCAGCACCATGTCCAC